AAAGAGTATCACAGCTGCATACTGCGATACAACCAGACAGCTTTACAAAATAGGAAAACAAGGGAGAAGAGTCTCTGCCCTTCAATCCATATCTCCTGAAGTAAGTGGATACTAAAAGCCCTTCCATTATACTTCACCTCAGCTCCCTGCTGCAACGGAGCAGGTTAAAGCACCCGTTAGCTCTCAGGGGCAGCTTCTTCCCAGAGTCTTGACCCCGGTGAACAGACTGAGGCAGCTTTAAAGAACTGCAAACATGGGACTGCAGGGTTAGTGCTGTATCAACAGCAGGAAACACAGAGTTCCTGCTAAAGCCCCTTCTTGGCTGGAGGCCATATCACTGGCCAACCCATATGGGAATGTCCGGTTACATGACTTGCTTGTGGATGGGTAGGCTCAAATCCTACAGCATGTCAAAATTTCATCCTCCTTCCCTCCTCTGCCCCTCTGTTGCATTTCAGGAACTATATTTCAGCAATAGGACTAATTATTTATGCAATTAAATTATCTCATTGCCTTGGAAATTTCTGGATTAGCTACTATGAAGAACAGATTTGTTCATTGTCACTGAGAAATTAGTGACAATCTGGGACAACTACCTGTAGAACAATTTCAGTTAGGTGGTATGATTTTTTGGAATGGCTGCAGATACTCCTGCACCTCTATTAATGTCAATTAAACCATCTTCTCAGCACAGTAGTTTGGCCTGCACTGATTTCCACATGAAGACAAGTTGTGCAGCTGCCCACAGCACTCAGACTAGCTTAGGCATCCTGACATATACACAGGACCACAGAGATGATGTCAGGAGTACTCTTGGTTTTGAATATCATTGCTATTACTAATCAGCCCAGTCTGTGTTTGACAGGTAGAACCAGAAGTAATGACAGATTTTTTAAAAGTTTTTTTCGTATCTTTCATTGGGAATTGGGTGAACACTGAGTGTTCCTGCTGGGTATACATTATTCAATGCAATGTCTACTCCCTCATGTGATCTTAGTTTCCGAGGAGAAAAAAAAAGAGCAAGAGGGCTTCACAAACCATAAGGATTTTCCTTTGTCATTTAAAACTTATATTAGCCCCCCAAAAAAGTTCAGGACTAAGTGCCACAGCCTTTGTGGTGACAGGGAGGTGCAACCCTTGCAGTGTCATATCCCTGATCTACACTGGGACACGGCAGTTGTCTCACACCAATGTCAGGATGTCAGGCTTACTTAGGCTTAGCACTCATGTTCTCCCTTCAGGACTCCATGGCATATAGGATATAGAATAATGTTCTTTAAACTAACACTTTAGTTATTTTAATAATAACAACAATAACAACAGAAATAAAACTCTTAAACAAAACAGCGTTTATAGGACCAAAAACCATCCTATTTTAGTGCTTAACATCATAAAATTAACGTAAGCACAAATAAATTTTTCACTAAGGTGTCTGTTACTTACTTGGTTCCCTGATATCACTTCTTGAAAAAATGCCCCCTCTGTTTAAGGCAATATATACTTTAGAAACCCAGCACACTATTTTTTCTTCTTTCTCTCCCCTGACTCATATGTTGTTCTTGTTCATTGTTGCCTCTTAACAAGCCTTAAATGTTGGTGGAGAGAGATTTTGCTCCTTAGTTTGTTATGCTTTATAGCTCCATAAGAAGGCACATCTACCCTTTTATTACGTAAACACCTCAATATTTGTAAAATACAGGATAACTATAAATTAGTACAAAGTAATTAATTATCTGTAATATATTTGAAAATGTCCAGAATCTTGACATAAACCATCACATGATACTAGTCAGTGTCCTCACTATATTCATTTAGTAGGACAGAGATATTGTGTTAGTATAAATAACATCAAAGCATTTGCCAAAAAATGAACCTTTCTTGAAATTAGGTCTACTGGTTTTGTGGAAACAGTGAAATAATCTGTTCAGCTACACAGGAGTCTTACCAATTGGATGTCCACTTGCACGTTTATTTTGGCAGTAGAAGTATGAACACAACTTGCATTGAATGTAACATATTGAGCTTCATTTGTGCATCCAGTCTGCAGAAATGGAAGACATGAGCCCTTATGCTCATATGTAATTTAAGCCAGTGGTTGTCCATGTCTTGGACTGAATCTCTTGAATTTTTATTTTATAGTGGAAATTTCACAGTTTCTGTAACCTGAAGCAATTTCACACTTCTAACATTGGATATGGTATATATCTGCTTTACTTTTACAAATTCTTTAGAATTCCTCCATTGAACTCTTGGCTGAAAAATATCGATTTAACAAATTCTTTATCTCAGTGTTGGTTCACACTGCCTTTTAAGTGTTACATTATACTCTCTCTTTTTTTCTGGTTCCACTCAGTTTCTATGTCTGAACTTAATTTAGAATGCTTCCAATTATTCAGCAGTTTTGTTTCTTTTATTGTGCTTAGTGAATCTAACTGAAAGAACTGATATTATTTAGAGTCAAGAAAAAAGTACTTAAAAATGGAAGCTTTGTATAAAAATGCATCAAAGTCAAGTCTTCCAGCCTTGAATCAGCCTCTGTTATTTTTCTGTTTTGTTTCAGAAAACATTCCCAAAGCTTTACAAGACTTTTGAAGATCTCCTATGAGGCATGAAGCATTAATCTTTAAAATTAAAGCTGCTACAGCTGAATTTTCAGTCTTTTAACAACTTCTGGGTGTTTCTGTTTTGGAAGAAAGAATTATCTTGTGGTTCAGGAACAGGAGGAAGAAGAAAAAAATCTCAAGTCAGTTATCATCACCAACTTCCTGTATGATCTTTGACAACCCAGACTGACTCTTTTCTGTTTATTAGAATAAATATCAAAATGGAATAAATATAAACTGGGAATAGCAACATTTATGAGTGATATTGTAGGGAAAAGGCACAGTGAGTGGAAGATGCCTGTACAAGAAAGAGCTGTGAGCTGAAAACACTCCCCACATTTACTAAGTCCCACTAGGTATGCAATGGTTAAAGGCTTCAAAAAGAACTGTGTGTCACAGACTATCTGAGATAGTTTCATCTAGGATAGAGCTCATGTGGACTGTATATCAGCTTGGGGGAAAAGTGGAGAAGAAGGAAAACTTGCTCCTATAAATAGTGGATTTTGGAGAGAAAAAAAATGATGTGAAAACACATCCATACATCAGCAAAACCAGTCATCTAAGGCCTACTGGAGATGGCCTTTCCGTTGCTGGCAATGAAGAATAGGGGTTGGTACAAGTTATGCAAACCTTCCTGGGGTCCCTGTCTATAAAGGCAGCTGGACATTGCTGAATTGTGGGACTGCCCTTAATACCGGAATTAGACAGCCAATGACAACGCTGCTATGCATTGGCACTGTATGCCAGTGACAAACCTGCCTATGCTGCTGTCCCTCCTCTAAAGACTGTGCACTTTTATCTACACAGTGGGCTCCTTCTGGCTTAACTTCAGCTGCGTACAAGTCAGGATTCTATCTAAAGGACACAAACAGCCATCTCTGGAAGACTGAATGAACCACACTTTGGAGATTCCAAGCTGAATAGTTGCGTGACACAGTCCAAAGTCTTACTATGTACTTCCTCATCAGTCTGCTTGTACCTTTATTCAAAGCATAGTATCTGCAAAAGGACATCTCTGTCAAGAGTATAGAGTTGTCCCGAGTTTCCCACAGGTAAGTTTGATGTCCTCGTATGTTTCATCACTAGGTTTTCATTCATTTTTCAAAACACCCCTTTGAAAACGTGACATAGTTTTCATTTGGTCTTTAAGTCTTCTATTCAAACCTGAAATTTATTTGTATAGATAAAACATTCCACTTTTGTTACATGAACTATCTAATCATAGATGGAAATATTTGAATATTTTTCCTGGTTTTATTTAAAATATGTACGCTCAGGGCATATTACAATAAAAATAATGCACGCATGCTGTCTGTGCACATTTCCATTTATTTATACTACCATATGCTGGACGTAGTTTCATGTGCCCAAGTAACCATATACACATACAGGAACTACCACTTACTCTGTTTTGAAGAATTCCCAGTGTGATTGGACAGTCGTCCTGATCAGAGTTCCTAGACACTAACATAGTAATGGGATGTGGGTGGCTGGAGCTAGGAGGGGTAAAGAACTGCACTGCGTACTTGCTACGTTTAAGTAAGCTCTTCTTATTTAACTTGGGCTCTCAGAAAAAAAAAAAAACCACAACAGAATTGTATTGTGTTTCTATTTCAATAAACCACAAATATTAAGACTAAATATAGGCTAAAGAATACTAACTTTCGCTTAATGGTCAAACTGTCAAAGTCTGCCTTAATAAAGGAACCAGTTTTAAAGTCTCTGCAAACACTAGGTTTAAATTATTTTCAAGACCTATAAAGAGACAACAGAAAACATAAACAGCCTGAATTGTTTAAAATGTGTGTTCCCTCCAATTAAATAAGAAACATCTGTCTTGGGATTTTGGAAGTGGATATCATCTATCCACATTGTGCCTAAATCGGTTTGCATCTAGCTTCCAGTGTTCTGAAATAAAATTCCTGCTTTCTGAAAAGAATTAAATAAGCATGCCACATGAGGTCCTTCATCCATCTGAAGAGCCGGAAAGCCCCTTGCTGAAAATAACAGCGAAGACTAGAAATACGGTTATTTCCAAAACTCAGAGAAGTGTGAGACATGGCTTTTGGGGCTTTGCCTTCTGAACACTCAAAACTATTTTCAGAAGGAGGAATCTGACACATATACATTTCATTAAAGAAAAAGAAAAAAAGAAAAAGAAAGGGCAGTTATTAAGATGAACTATGTGCCGATCCTGGAGGTCATACTCTTATTATTTCCCTGGGGACCATTAAGCCCTTCCCTGCAAGCGCACATGCATTCGGACCTTCAGGAGCGGGATTTCTCCGGCCAAGTGCAGATCCTCGGATCAAAGTGACCCAAGTGAAGGGATCGCGGCGGAGCCGAGGAGGTACCCGGGCACAGCAAGCGCTGCGCTGGGACCAGCCGGTCACTTACTGGTGTTGTCGAAGGGGATTTGCCGGCAGCGGGCGGCGGGCCAGGCGCAGTAGTACACCGCTCCTCCTTCCACGATATCGGGCTGCGTAGTGTTGGCTTTGGGGGCTCCCACCAGGACACTGACCCTGCCAAGCACACCGGCAGGTCACCGGGGCGATGAGGACCGGCGGGCGGTGGGCGCTGTCACTCCGCGTCCGGGACACGGCCGTTCGCCCACCGCCTTCCCACAGGCTCCTTCCCAAAGGCTCCTTCCCACAGGCTCCTTCCCAAAGCGCCCCCCGAGCCCGAGAGCCCCCCGGCCCCGGCCGGGCAGGGCGGGCGGCCCGGACCCCGCCACCCCCGGCGGCGGCACTCACGTGCTGGGGTCGGGGATGTAGAAGTCCACTGAGTACCCGAAGTAGCTGCCTGGCGGTCCGCTGTACACCGTCCGCTTCTCCTCGTCCAGGTTGAAGGCCACCAGCGCCGGCGCCCACAGCAGCGCTGACAGGACGAGCAGCGGGCGCTGCCGGCGGCGGGGCCGCCCGCGGCTGAGGCGCAGCATCCCCGCCGGCTGCCGCTGGCAGAGCGGAGCGGAGCCGGGCAATGCGGAGCGGAGCGGCTCGGCGCGGTGCGGGTGCCGCCGTGCGCGGGCGGGGGCGGCGCGGCAGGCTCGGCCCCGCTCGGCCCCGCTCACCCTGCGCGGGGGATGCGCGCTCGGGCGCCCCCTGGCGGCTCACGCCAGGCGCCCGCCCGGCAGCCCCGGGGCAGCGGCTTCGCCCTCAGGCGCCGGGGGTGAGGGCTGGTGGATTCTAGTCGGGTTTCTCTCGACTTCCAGCGTTTTCAAGAGCTTAAACTCTTGAGTTTAAACAAGTATCAGAGCCTGACACTTGAAAATTCCCTTTGGGAAACTGGAGTGCGTTGAAAAAAGCAGTAGATCTTCACCAGATTGTTATGCCTGGCATGGCTGTTACGAAATAAAAAACAAACCACCACAGCAACGAAAAAAACCCCCTTCTAACCACAAGAAAGGTGTCAACCCGGTCACACAGTTGTGAAAGCATTAGAAAACGCATTCCCCCTCAAGTTTCTGCGTGAGTGCCCGCCTGGCTAAGCAGAGCTTTAAGAAGCTGAAGGGGGCACCTCTCAGCGAGGGAAGCCTTGCGGTGCTGCGAGCCCTGAGCACAGCTCCCTGCGGGAGCAGGTGTCGAGCTTCCCTTCCCGCAGAAATAACCAACACTCCTACACTGCACGTGGCATATAATGGCACTTTCAGAAAGTTCCTCTTGTGATTTCTTCACAAAACTAGTTAAACCGATGAGGCTGCATAACTCCTGTCCTGGATTGGTCTGCCCCTGCAAGCTCCGCAATAGAGTTTTAACTGGTTTTGTTAAGAATATATAAAAAATCGCTGAGTGCCTGAAATGCTCCGTTCCCCTACAAAGCTAAACGGGGTGTCACATCCACATCTTGGGGGGACAGTAGCGTTTGTATTTCTTCTGGCCAACTCAAAGCTAGGAAGAAAAGAAGAAACATTTTATTTTCCATGTAATCAACTGCTACAAGGAAAAAAAGAATTGTTTTTCAGCATTTAAAACACAGCTGAGTCCAAAACGCTATCAGAGAAATATTAGAAAGACAGAGAACCCATTTATAAACATGTTACAGTAGAGCATACCTATGAAAGCAGCTGAGAGTAGTTTTGTTGTGAGGTTCTGGTTTCTTCTGTGTTTGTTTTATTTTAAGTGCTGTATGGCAAGATTGTTCAGATAAGACTAACATTCCTTTTCACAAAAATAGAACTGTGTGTTTATTTCCAGCATTAACTGTGTGACCCTTAGCTGTCCCCACAGGCTCATAATATTCCTTAATTCTACTTGCCTTATACCAAATTTACTTTTGCCATTAGAGTGAAACATCACCATTGACACTATTTCACTCTTTTACATTGAACAAGTAACTCTTGGAGATCTAAGCACCAGTAATAAATTCGGAAGGACCTCAATGACTTGTAGGACTAAAACCTACTCTTAAAAATCATGCAACTTTAAGGCAATTAAAGAAATTTAAAAGTGGTGTTGCCTTATGCTAATAATAATGCCTTATTATTTTTCAGCACAACAATAGTCAGTTACAGGGCTGAGTGTCACTAAGCAAGTTTCTGGGGCTTGCAGCACTGCTCAGATTTGCACTCCAGACCTGTGGCACTCAGGAGTGAGCAGGCAGCACATTCTGGTACTGTAGCCATCTTGTACAGATATATCCAAAACAAGAGTTAAAATTCAGTAATGAGCACAATTGAAAATAGGTGAATATTCCCACAGGTGAAAAGCCAAAGGGGCATAGTTGGAAACACACCACCTAACCTGGTTGGTTTGAGCTAAATTTAAAAGAGGAAAAAAGGGCTTCAAGTGTCAAAAAGTACTGAAACCTCTATGGAGGGCAGAATGAAAAGAGGAAAATCTCTTTCAAGACCCTGTTACCTCCAAAGTGTTAAAACACAGCAGTCTCCCTCCCCTTACCCTTTTTTTCCTTCCCCCTCCCCCCTTCCTTCATACAAAGAAGAGCCATACGAGTGTAGGATATTCTAAATCAAGAAGAGAAAAAAGAACAGTATTTTTTGCTTTTTAAGGATTTGCAGCACTTCCCTAAATAACCTGGACCTGATCACTGGAACCTTATTCCACAACTTGGTTTCCTCAGACTTCAGAAATGTTTGGACTGGACACTGATCTGCACTGCTTACGGGGTAAGCAACTGCCCAGTTATTGGTAGACTGAAGTTTGGACTTCAGCATACCTGTGCCCTGATAGATACATTAATTGCTTTGAATATCGAACAAAGAAGTCTTAATAGGCTCTAGAACCAGACCTGAAGCCAGGACAGAAAGTTTTTTTATGAACATTTAGCTAAGAGTCCAGATGTCATTATCTACCCTACAGAATAACTGGAAAGCCAGATGTGGGACCAAATAATTTATGCAGAGAAATATAAGATTTATTGTGTGAATTTCTACAGCTTACATTATATGCAGTTGGTGCAGTTAATGTCATTATGATCTTTCCAATCTTAAAAATAGATCAGTCAAATCTTCTATGAAAATTTTTGCTCAAGCAAAAGTGAAACAATATTTCCTAGAAGACTCTATTATCAGAGCTTTAATGTTTTTCATGCCATTATTTAGGAATGTACCTGCTAGCAGAGGAAGAGCAAGTATTCAAAGAATCATATGGGATTTTAAGATATATCTTATCAAAATTAATGACAATTTTCTTGTTAAATCTTTTCAAAACATAGCAATACAGAAGCAGAAGTGTCCAAATTCCATACAAAAACTTACCTTTTCTTTCAGTTGTTTCCTAGTTTTGTTTCTGTAGGCCGGTGCCATACAAAAAGACAGTATTTTGTACTTTTTTTGTACTTATTATCCTGTCTTAAAGCAAGAGGATAAAACAAGGATGTGACCATGCTCTACAAACAGAATGAGTTTG